TTACATGTATATACATATATATATATTATACATTTATATATATATATATATATATATATATGTACTGTATGTATGCATCTATATAATTGATATATCTGGTTTTATACTTAATGGATAGATTAAGAGAATATGTTGCGAAAGAATAGGTATATGTGTATTTTACGAAAGATTAGCCAGTGACTCCTTCTTTAGCTCTACCAGGAATATGCTCCGGGTGCCCTTGGTGACTTCCGTTACGCGATGGTCCACCTTTGGCGTGCTGTGTGTGCGGTGCAAGTAGTTGGAGACGTAACAATAAGTGGGCCACCTGAAAGATAATTCGCGATTTGATCCAGTGGCTTCTCAACGTAGAGGTAAAGGTATTTGGCACAGAATAGCGTTAGAGCTTGCTACAGTGTTTACGTCTCATGTAATGGATGATGGCTGGTAACTTTAGAGGTAGCTACCAATAGCTACAGCGTGGAGAGATTCTGCAGACATGTCACGTTGCTTCGCATGGAACTGTATCTGATTATAGTTGGTTGCAAATCCCGATATACTCTACAGCGATCAGAAATGAATAAGATGGCATGACAATATCGATCGAATCTGCACCCAGAAGCATTCAATGATGAAGTGTGGTCACGCGCACGGCTGCACCGCTATAATATACTCACAAGTCTACCTATCTAATTAGATACCCTGGTTTTTTAACGACAAAAAGAAATTACACTACACTACTATGTAATTTGCTGCTACGTACTATATAAGCACACGATGACGGTTGTGTTATACAGTCCGTTTACATCGGACAGAAAATAAATAAATAATCACGTCGACATAAAAAATGATGTGGAATATCGAAACAATCGATGGTGAACGGATATCGACTGCACATGTTACACAAACAAGAAATGCATATTGATATACAGATGTATATTGATACACGCAATGGATATAAGCAGGTATAGATACACATAATAAACTGAATCGCCCCTATCCTTAATAATTGTCTGCTTCGATAAAATTTTGAGAATGTCCGCGTTGCTATTTACATGTGCTGTGCCTAAAGATGTGCTTGATTTTGTATATACGCAAATTTATTTTCTCCGACATACCTGTAAATGACTGCATCACCCAGTTGGATTTCCACGTTCGTGGGATCATCGATCGGATAGAACTGCAATTGGCCACCTTCAAAGTCAATGTTTGGTTGCGTACACATTACAATCGTATTGAAGTGATTCGTTGGATCGTCTCTGTGCCAACAGCACGCGTCTGTCTGCTGATATGTAACGTGTCGGATATCCTGTATACAAAACAACGCATCAGTTAATTTGGCGATTGTACATATTTTAAAGGAAATGGTGTAAAGGGTCTGCATGTATGTATATACATATAAATTCCTAAAATAGTGTATTTGTTTAAATATATGCATATAACAAAAGCTAATGCATGCGATCTTATTCAATTGTGACAGAACCAAAAAATATATTCTCGGACACTTCTCTGGAATGCCTCATCTGATATACCTGAGGGAAATTCACATTATCGAGCTCTGCTTGCTTGACACCAATAGCCAAACCAAAAGCATCTTTAGCCGCTAAAAAAACGTTCGAAAATAGCAGGAAAATGCGTTTTGAATGGACTTGGATTGGCGTAAAGCTGAAATACTTCTGGTTGACCAGAGGTATCTGCGTCATCCTCTACGTCGTCTCCATTGAACTCGGTTTTCTTGATATCGGGATGGGCCTTTCCCCGGAACCACTCGCCTATTTTCTTCACCTCCTCAGGTGATGCGAAGCCTTTGACTATAGCTGTAGGTGATGAAATAAGGGTAATGTGTGGGCATCTAAATAAAGCGCTTAAACTTCTAAATTGGTGCCTTGATATTTGCTTCGTATTCTAAATACGACAAAAGATGAAACATGTCTGTTTCATACCAGCCCGTTCTCAAACCCATTAGCACAAATTGAGGTAATGCATTGCTGTGATGGAAATATGCAGGATGATCAGTCGATCAGCCCATTATTCTCACGCACACGACTACAGTAGAAACTGTTGCATGCTGATGAAGCAACCCAATACATTATCGACTAAACCGAGTTAGAAATAATCCATCTACAAACATGCTTGTTTGACAATTTATTGTATATACATATCTGGTATCGATGATACTTTGGATCATCAAAGCACGGCACACACTTTGTGAGGATTGTGTCCTCGATATGTCCACATAAACGCACAAACATACTCGACATATGATATTTGAGTATGAAAGATGTAATTGTCATCCATCCTTAAGCATGGGTATAGCGTGCAGTATAGTGTCGATGACTTTATGCGCATGCCAGCGTATATATATATATATATATATATGTGAGTGTTCTGCCATTTGTCGGGAGTACTAAGATAAAGTACTACCAATATACATATAATTAGGAGAAAGCATGGCCAGTCGATCCAAAATATTTTGACCAATTTACAGACAACCGTTGGTTTTAGAACAAATTACAAGGACACACTGATAAATCGCATTGTCTATAGAATTATATACGCAATATCAACACACACCGTAAGCCATGGGTAGATGATCATTGGCATCCTTGAAGTAGGTGTTCATAGGCCCACCTTCGAGACCGACATATACCTGTCCCTGCCTATCATCGTCTAGTGTGAAGGTACCCCCTTCCTTGAACGCCTTCATTGTGCTCTGGATATTTTAGTAAAGTTCCAATGAAACAGTATAATATAACAGTATAAATGTACACAACTCATAGCCCTCATATATTTTTCAAATAACTGGTGTATGTATGTAACTGTATTTTTCACTAAAAAATGGGCCATCACGTGTTTTTCTTATCGCTTTCCATCTTGAGTGTGTTCATAAAATGTTGAATCTGGAGTTCTGGAGAGGTTACTTTTACAAAGAATCTATAGAACTGAGGACCTAAACAGTTGTTGGCATGGGCCGTGCAGTATTGTGCATATTCCTTGAGTATAAGCTTCTTTTCTATACGTACACGCTGTGTATATCGGCGTAAATGACGCTCAATCTACGTGCATACTGATTATGTGTGATTGGTGTGAACGAAGCATTCGGAGTACTCGTCGCCCTGTTCGCTTTTTATGTCAAGTTACGACTGTACATCCGTAAGAGTAAAATACGCTACACATCTGTAGGCTATTTACCATATATGAATGCAACAGTAAGATAATATCCAGGTGCTGACGGCGATTGACAATCATCACATCAGGTTTTGCATACATTGATATGTCACACGGGTATTTTACAATGTACGCAATATTTTATTAAGAAGACTATATATATATATATATGTATTTATATATATATATATATATATATATATATATATATATTACA